GAGCCCGGTGCAAGCCCGCAGACACTGGGGTAGGAGCCGCGCGGAACCCAGGCCTGCTTCGCGGTGCTCCAGCATCTGCTCGGGAGGCATGGAGCCTCCAGTCCACATTCAGGCTTCGTGTGCTTAATTTCCAGCCGCAAAGAGCCCCGGCAGGGTGTGGGGATGGCCAGGGCCACTGACTTGCTTTTATGAGAAATGGACCCATCTATAATCTCTGAGGAAGAAACAGGGTTGTTGGCACCCATACCACCCAAACCAGCACAGTGAGAGAAGCAGGCCTGTGTTCCCGTGGGACCCCCGAGGCCAGCTGAGGTTGCAGGGGCTCAGAACAAATGGGCAGAAAGAAAAGAACTGTTGGGGAGTCCTTCTGTATGTCGGGGTCCTAAATCCCCACCTTCAGGTGAGAAAAGTGAGGCCAGGATCAAACCATGACGTGAAGCGTAACTGGACTGTCCCCTTTCTCTCTGCACTCCAAGTCCCTTCCCAGCCCTCTCTCCAGCAGGATCCTGGCTTGGTACCTGGACCGTGGCCTCAGGTGGGGAAGACAGATGCGCCCAGCAGTGACAGCAGGAGTGTCCATGTGTATCCCACACGGGGTGCGTGGGTATTGCATGAGCGTCCCTCTCTCAGACTTTCAGGAGCAAGGTTATCACTTGATTCATTTCTCTGTGGCTGACCCTCACTTTCCTCCTGAGCCCCGCTATCACTCAGTGCTAGAAACGTGACCGTGTCACTTCCAGCCACTTCTGGTTTCACGCTCAGCAGTTTGACCAATCACTGCTGACAGGAAGGGCTGTGCTAATTAATCAGGTACGGGTCACAGGTCCATCCTGGAGCCAGCTCTGGGGGAATCACGTGCCAATGGCTCCCCAAAGGAAAATCCAGGTGCTGCCAGCAGCGAGGGGTCGAGGTGAAGGGAGGTGGGCAAGTCACATAGCAAGTGGCACCACACACATCCTGTTCAGACTTCTTCCAGATTGTGGAGAGCGAGGTTCCAGGTGATGGACATCACCAGTGATACTGGTCTTCTCTTTGGTGTAATTCTGTCTTCCCTGTCATTCTGTGAGCTCCTTCATGGCACAGGCGTTGGGTTGCTCTTGGGTTCCCCTGGGCACTAGGGCCACTCAGAACTCACTGCAGGTACCTCATTCCTACATGTGGACTCAGTCAGGAGGAGATGGATGCCTGTTCTAGATATTTGAAACTCCTTCCTCTAGCTGAGAATGTTGGAATTCATGAAATCTAAAGTTAGAAGTCATTCTGCAATATTTAAGTTCCAAGATGAAAAGGGCCCAGCATTGGTTGACAAACACTCAGGGCAGCCTTTCTCTATTTTTAGTTCAGATTCATATAGAACGACCAAGTGCCATGCACACCCACTGCCCCACTGAACCACACAGCCTGATTCTACCAAATAAGGGTGCTGCAGAGACCGCCCCCGCTGCGGGTGGGCCCAACAGATGCGCACAGCAAGGGGTCTGCATGTCAGGGATAGGCTCTCAGAGGCTCAGATTCCAATTGAGATGGCAAGGCCACGTGACACCTTCCCGTCACGCTTGTCCCGGAGCAAGCCTGCTTGCTGCCCCCCTCTGCTGGCTGCCCTCTGCCTCCAAGGAGAGCAGGCCCCAGGAGCTGCCTAGCCTCAGGCCACTTACTCTTGCAGAAGGCTCCTCCTCACTGGGGAGACACTGCAGAGAGCAGGCTGTGCTCTGCAGGACTGAGCTGGGAGGTGCTGCTGAGAGGGGAATGGAAACCAGCTGTTTTGGTGGGTTTGGGGGGATGGAGTATCAGGTCATCTGTCAACAGCAGGTCCCAGTGGGCATGATGAGGAAGCAGAGACCCTAACCCTAGACACAGAGCCCTAAGTGCCTTTGTGCATCTTGGAAAAAGGAGCAGCCTCTGGGCAGGTATAGCATCGAGTGTGTGCTTGGCGAGAGCTCCTGGGTTCAGGGCCCGACCTGGGTACATGCATCCCTGTGTAGGTAAGGCCACCCTGGAACCTCAGCACGCCCAGGGAGAGGCAACCCCAGCTCTCTGCTTGGGGCCTCTGCGCCTGCCTTCTGCTCCTGGCTCAGTGTGGACAGTGCAAGGAACGCCAGCAGCCAAGTAGGATTTGGCCAGCACTGTGCCCTGTGAGTCTATGGGCTGACTGTGTCCCTGCGTGTCCCCAGGGAGACCAGCCTTGGAACAGCCAGCTCCTGCTCAGATCAAATCCTTGGATCTCCCCTGGGTTTGAGAGCCTGTCCTCTGAATGCTAAGCTCCCTCTTCCTGTTTGCAGAGAACCCAGAGAATTCCAAGTGCAGTGGCTCCTGGCTTCTTCCTGGGTGTCTCACAGATCTGAATGTGGGAGCGTTTGGAGCCCTCTGGCTGTGCTCACAGACCAGCTCTGCTAGGGCCATCCATCCTCCAGCTACTTTGCAGAGCCAGGGAAGATCAGCACTTGGGACTTGCAAGGGGTCTAAGGCCCAGGAAGGTGACCCCAACTCATGACCTTGGTAGGGGCAGGGTTGGGGTCAGTGGGCTAGTGTGCTCAGGATGGATGCTCACCCGGGGGCTCACTGGAGCTCAGGGCAGAGACTCAGAGTGCAGGGGGAGGGCCGCATGGAGGGATTCTGCCCCCCTAAGAAGGGGAAAGGCTGCCTCTGAGTGGCAGTGGGCTGGCTAGCAGGAATTCCTTGGCGGGGACGTGGCCTGTTTGAGGGCCTGCAGCTGTCAGAGCAGTGGCCCTGGGGGAGGGCACTCACTCAGTCCCTGGGCCTCAGGCAGAACAGCCTGGAGAGCCTGTTTAGGGCCAAGAACTAGAGGCTGCCTCAGGGCTTGGGGTGGACACAGGATGCATGGAGGATAGTGACTGAGGGTCTTGACCCTGGGGGCCGGGGCAGTAGGGGCTCAAGTGAGCCCCAGCTATGGGCTCCCCACCCAAGAGGACCAGGGGTGAGAGTTCAGGACTACTGCTGGTGGGCAAGGCTGAGGAAAGACGCTGGGTGCTGGGCCCTTTGACACTAGACAGTCTTCCTCCTCTCCCCCTGTGGGCCTCCTGCCAGCAGGCTGAGCTTCTCCGGCACAGCCTCTGTGCATGTCCCTGTGTGCGCACATGTCCTTGCATTTCTCTGTGTGTGTCTCTCTCTAGCTCTCTAGCTCTCTGGCTCTTTTCATCTCACTCATTCTGACCTGTGTCCTTTCTTCTTTCTCTGTTCAAGTTTCGTCTTGAGCTTATATGAAGTTTGAGGCTGCCTGCTCCATGTGGAGAACGATGGTGGGGGCCAGGAAAGGTCTGTGTGTGAGGGGCGAGGGAAGGGCTGTCTCCAGGGAGCAGGACACACTGGATGCCCTGCCTTCTGAGCAGTAGAGGCAGAGTGAGACCAGACTGTGCTGGGGAAGGAGCCAGGGTGAGTGTGCTACACACCAGCTCTGACTTTCAGGCATCCAGCTGCAAATCAGCTCCCTGCCACAGCCACTTGGTTTAGTAACCCAAGTAAACCTGCTACACTGTGTGCAAGACCCAAGGCTTTGACCCATCCCTGAAATGGTTTCAACCCAGCTGGAGTGGCAGGATCAACATAAAGAGTTACTGTACAGAAACAAGGAAGTTCAGCGGGGGCTTCAGAGAACTGACAGAACCGTGTCACGTTGTACCTGAGATGTCTTTGGTGGGTGTGTGAGTGGACAGGCCCCACGTGGGGCATGCATTCCCGAGCAAGGCGAGGAGCCACTGAACTTCCAAGTGGACTTGGGAGCAGAACAGGCTGTGGACTTTTACTCCAGAATCCCCTACCTTTATTCGCTTACCAAGTGAGGCCACCAGACAAATCCTAAACTCCATCACGATGCTCCCACCCCCACTAAAACATGTAAAGTGAAGATGTCTTCTGTGGAGTGTCAACCCAGCACGTGACCCCAGCAGCGCTGAGTATGGTCACTGCTGGTCTTTGCTAGTTTCATGGGTACCTGCCTCAGCCATTGTCCAACCTCCAGGCGGTCAGGACTGGGGAGGTGGACTTCTCTTGGAACTAAGCTTGGGAAGGTCTGGTCTCTCCCAACAAAGTCACCTGCTCCCTTTTAGGAGAAACCATGCAATGCTTCTTCCTGCTTCTGCCTTTGTCTGAGAGCTTGAACCTGAGAATCAGGGTGAGGCCTCACCATCCACTCACCCCTGCCTAAGCCCCTCTGGCTCCTGGCCTTTGTGTTTTGGCGTCATCCTGTTAGTGAGCTGCCTGGGGCTGTGTCTGCAGGGTGTTGCTGGAGCTCAGATCTGGGCCCTATCACTTTCCGTGTCCCCTGGCCTTGAGCACATCATTAGGTCCTCAGTGCCCCAGGTCCTCATTCATCACATGGCAACGATGATAGTGCAGGTCTCACAGTCATTGCTGCGAGTATTAAATGTATTAATGCAAGTGCTGCACCAATATGTGGCCAATTAACCTGTGCCTTCCTCTCCAAGGCCACAGCTCTGCCTTAGCTCTGCTAGGGTCTGCCTGCAAGACCGCAGCCCCAGCTGTGAGACTCGTCTCCTGTCTTAAGAGTTCAATCGCAGGCTAGAAGAGTGAGACACCTTGCAACATGCCACTTCATTCATTCATTCATTCATTCATTTGTTCGTTCATTCAGCACATGGGTATCAGTACCTCCTATGTGCCAGGTGCTGTCAAATGCTGTGGGTAGAACACCCCACAGGACAAAGCACAACCCAATGGGAAACCAGCCAGGAGATGCAGTCAATGGGCTGGTAGCTGAGGGGCTCTCAGGAGAGCGTCTAACACACAGCAGTGCTACGTCAGTTGTTAAATGATGTGGTCAGTTGTGATGGGTGAGCACAGCTGCTGTGGGGACCCTGAGGGGCGACTGAGCCAGGTATGGGAAGAAGTGACCTGCAACCAAGACCAGATGAAGGAGAAGAGAGAAGATGGGGCTGGGCAGAGGGCCTGGGGGCAGCAGATCTGGGCCTGTGAGGCACTGGAAGCAGCTCAGACTGACTGGCAGGAGAGGGCTTGTGGGAGTGATGCAGGCAGCTGGAGAGGCAGGCAAGGGTGAGTGCGGGCCTGGGGAGCCGTGTCGAAGGGCTGGCTTCACTGAACTCAGTGGGGCCTCTCTCCTGGCCTGGGTTCTGAGGGGGCTCTAACATTCCAGCAAGGCTCCGAGACACTGTGGCAACCAGGAGCCCAACTCTGTGCTCCTGAGGGTGGTGCCCCAGCAGGAGAGTGGCAGGCTTTCCCAGATGTGTGGGAGGGGTTGCTGGGGACAGGGTCTGGCCTTCCAGCCCTGCCTTGCCTGCTCACAGCTTAGTTCTGCTCTAACCAGACTCTGGGGTTTCTTTCTTTGCAGATGTTGGAGGAGCTCAAGTATTGGCAACGGAAAAGTCTTCTGAGGTCGAAACTGGTAGGTCCCTGCCCAGCTGATTCTGCGTGGGAGGCAAGGGGCAAGAATGAGGTAGCCCAAAAGGCCTAGCTAGGTGGTGGGGGCATGCTGGGTCAGTCTCTTACCAGTTATCACAGAATAGGAAAGGGAGCACTCACCCCCAGGCCTGCCTGAGTGGCTAATGCAGCTTTATCCCGGGGACATTGTCCTCAAAGGGGCCTGTTCTCAAAGGAAACCTGAGTCACCAGGGCCACCGTTGTCCACACTCTGTAATGAGCCGCTCCAGCACCCAGAGTGCCATGCCTGCAGCCTGGCCCTGGGGCATCAGGCTCTGCCGAGCTCTGTGCCCTACCATTCTCTCTCCCTGCCGCACAGTCAGCTCCTCTCCCCCTCAGAGCTCACCTAGAAGGCAAGGTTCAACTTGCATGTCACCTCCTCTGGGAAAGCTGTGGACTCCATGCCAGCCCAACCCACCGTTACCTGGCATTGGAGTGAGCCCTTGTGTGCCCACTTGCGTGCAGTTTCCCCCAAGAGCCCAGTCTCATTCCTGTGCTTTCAGCGCTCATCAGAGCTGGCAATTTACACAGACCTGACAAAAGAACTCATGAAAGTGTAAGTGAGGAAGGGCTATAGAAGGCCAGAGAAATGAAGGTTCCCCAGCTGAGAAGACCAGGCAGGGTTCCCAGAGAGGACAGGGCCTGGGACAGGCCCTCAGGAGAGTGGGAAGTCAGGCGACCTCCTTGGTGGGTCAGAGTGCAGAATTTTAAGGTCCACACGCCTGACTTGGGCTTCATCCAGAATGTAAAGGGCGTTGTGGGGCCCTTGGCAGGGTGGTGACCAGCTGAAGCAACACTGGCTCCTCCTTGCCCTTCAGACATCAGGTACGCCATCATAGGGATGGCGCTGGGCTTCGCCATATCGGCCTGCTCGCTGGCCCTGAAGATCTGCATGATCAAGAAGCACCTGTTCGACTACGACTCCTCAGACATGAGGAGCATGAACGTGGGCGTCAACGGTAAGGACACGGTGACTCTCAGCATGGGCTCTGCTCCTGACAAGGACGTGTTCCTGGCAGCCACCCAGCACGGCACCAAGGGCCACTCCAGAGCACTTGGGAGAGAAACAGTAAAAACCATGGGCCTGCCCTGGCTGATCGGCTCAGTGGTTAGAGCATCGGTCTGCAGACTGAAGGGTCCCAGGTTCAATTCCAGCCAAGGGCACCTGCCTCGGTTGCAGGTTCAATCCCCAGCCCCTGTGGGGATGCGTGAGGGAGGCCACCAATCAATGTCTCTCTCTCACATGGATGTTTCTCTCTCTCTCTCTCCCTTCCACGCTCTCTGAAAAGCAATGAAAAATATCCTCAGATGAGGATTAAAAAATAACCCACAAAAAAACAAACAGTGGGCCGATAAGGAATACAGTCACTCCCCCCACATCCCGTGTCTGTCTTTCTGTCTCTGTGCTTTTCTATTAGTCACTTCTGATGTTCCTAAGAATCAGGTTTCCTGGAGAAAGGTGGGAAAGATGAAATTTATCCCAGAGATGATGAGGCTGGTCCTAGCATGGTGGATGGTGGAAGGGGCTGCCAGCATTGGTTATGTGGCCTGACTTCATTTTTTTTTTTAATATATATTTTTATTGATTTCAGAGAGAGGAAGGGAGCGGGAGAGAGAGATAGAAACATCAATGATGAGAGTCATTGATCGGCTGCCTCCTGCATGCCCCCTGCTGGGGATCGAGCCCACGAAACCCAGGCATGTGCCCTAACTGGGTATCGAACCACAATCTCAAGGATCATAGGTCGATGCTCAGCCACTGAGCCATGCCAGTGGGCCCGATTGCATTTTTTCATAAATGAGGAAATCATTTTTCATGATCTAACTAGAGTCGTACTTCCATGAATCCAGCGTGGTTCTTGGTGTCCTGTGGTACCTGCAGGTGACACAGAGTACACAGACACTGAGCTGTCAGCTTGTGAGTGCTTTTTTCTTTTAAGATTTTTTTATTGATTTTTTAGAGAGGAAAGGAGAGGGAGAAAAACATTTATGTGAAAATGAACATCAATCAGCTGCTTCCTGCACGTCCCCTACTGGGGATTGAGCCCACAATCAAGCCGTGTGCACTGACAAGAATTGAACCGGCACCCTTACAGTGCCTGAGATGATGCCCAACTAACTGAGCCACACTGGCCAGGGCAGCTTGTGAGTTTTGATGGCAAAATGTAATAGCTACTCTCGACTCTTTTTCTCAAGGTGGGCCTTTAAGAACCACCCCGATACCAGGCATAGTGGGACGATGCTGCAGTTTCCCAAAGGTTTTCCTGAGGATGGGGAGGAAGGCACCTCACTGTGTCTCCAGAAAATTCGATGGTTATCTGTGAAGATATGCAGAAGGCATGGGGTTGGGGGGAGTCTGGGCCAGGAACGGGGAGTGGAGGCACTTGGGGGGTTCCTCGTGCATCTAATTGCACAAGGGGCTTAATTAGTCACAGGAGTTTGTTCACCATTGATTTTGTATCCCTACAACAAGGAAGGAGGGACAGCAACCAACCCCTTCATCACAGAGCAGGCACATGTCAGGAGCTGCAAGTGGAGGAGAGGCGAGGAATGACAGGGGCTCTAGGGAAGGCTCAGTCTCACCTGCGTGATAAGCTAAGACCTCATTGACAGGAGCTGGGTAGAGGAGCTCCGACAGTGCCACAGGCGGGGGCAGAGCACTTGGCCCAAGACAACCACCTCTCGTGGCCCCAGCCCAGGGAACCTCTCAGCCCTGCCGAGCCCAATTGGCTCTGACCCCTCCCCTTGCCTGGCACTGAGTGAGCTGCACATGGATCACAGTGCCTCCTTCCTAATGCCCTGCTCTCTCTGTTTAGATACCATCATGCTAAAGAAGAGAGCCCCAAGGTAAGGTTGCTACTGAGGTACCACTTCCCTCCTGTTTTATCTGTTCTGCTCCCCTGCCTGTCATCCCTGCCCTTTTCTCCACTCTGAAATGTTTCCTAGGGGACTACAATGCACATGGCCCCCTCTTCCCACTCTCTGCTCCTCTAGGTTGTGGGCAGGTGTCATGAGAGGAGGAGGTGGCACAAGATATAGTAGCCAAAAGGGCTTGGGCTCACCTCTGGGCACCCTGGGCATGCGGCTGCAGACTATGTGGCCAACTCTGGCCCTGTGTAAGGGCCTGGAGGGCTCAGATGGAAAGTCTAGCAAAGTGATCTTACCACCACCCATGGGTGAGCAATGCTCCTTGGCCAGCCAAACTACCCACACACCGAGAGGCACTCTCTGAGTTAAGACATTTGGTTTAGGAAACTCCAGTGCCCTGAAAGTCTCCAGAGCTCGTTGCAGGCTGTTTCAGGGACATTTAGTACCTGAAAATGTAAGACTCCACAAAGCCCAGTTCCTCACCCGGGTGTGTGTGTTTGTGCATGCGGGCACCCTGGCAGGTGGGGGCTGGGGAGGCTGTGACGATGTGTGGTGAATGATTGGCACACACACTGAGCGTGAAGATGCTGCTGCGGACAGTACGCCAGACACGCAGTCACTGTGGCTTCAGGCTGCTGTGCGTGACCATGTTAGAGGAGCAGCTCAGGCTGGTGTGTGTAAGTTCTGGATCATTCTGACACGTCAGAGCCACAGGAGGCGGTTTCCACAGTCCAGGCCAGGTGGCTGGAATCATCTTTCAACAGCAAACACAGTGGAAGTGAGGCTCAGGGAAAGGGATGTGGAGGGCGAGGAGGAAGGCAGGTGGGGGGAGGAAGGCAAGGAAGAAATGCAGGACGGGGACAGGAGGGTGGCTGGGCCCCCAGCCCGGCGCTTTTCCCAGGACACACCCTCACCCCGCGCAGGCCGCTGCTCCCGGGGGCCTGTCAGAGCCCCTCTGCAAGCGCCAGGATTTCTGCCGAGCGGAGGGACACAGCTCAGGTTTCTGAAACCAACACTAGATGGAGTCAGGCTGAGCCAGGAGGAGTGGGGCCCAGAGGAAACGCAAAGGCCGAGCAAGAGGTTCTTGCAGCAGAAGTCTGCGTGTGCCTTCTGGCGTCTGGGAAAGATCTGATAAACCACTGTCCTGACATCATAAAGAGGGTAAGTGACGCTGGTCCTGTTGTTCTGTTTTCCAGGGCAAAGCTCAGCCTCTCTGAAAGGTGAGTCGATCCTGTGGGTCATTGTTTACCGAGTGAAAAGGGGGAAGACAGTCGTCCAGCGTGGCTGTGGCTCCCCGCCTGCCCCGTGCAGAACGAGGCGGCTGCTGGCCAAGGGCCACGCGGCCTTGTGCCAGGGTGGCTGTGAGACCAGCAGCTAGCATCTTTTGGGGACATCTGCAGAAAATCCTAGTAGGTGGAACTTTGGCGAGCTGTAGAGCGAAACTGGGGCATTTGCCCAGTTAGAGCTGAGACACCGGGTTCAAGCAGCAAGATGTTTGCCTTTCCTGTGACCAAGGCCTTCTCTTGACAGAGGCCAATCGGACAGTTGGCCAATTTACTCCACTTGATGGAAAAAAATTCCCACACTTCTCTTTGTGTCATCAAACTATCGGTTTGGCTAAGCGTCTGCTTTTCACCTCTGCTTTGGGGTCTCAGAGTAGACAGGGCCTGACAAGAGGGCAGGGCCTGCAGAAGGGGCGCAGCCACAGGCCCTCTGAAGGACACCTGCTCCCTGGGACAGCAGGAACCTCCCCCACGTGTATCCGAGTCCCTGGCTCCCGGTTCACACCCCCAAGGCCTGCTTGCCTGAGTGTTGCACTGCCCAACACTCTCACTCTCCCTTATTTGGAAAGACATGTAAATGTACAGAAAAGTTGAAAGAACAGTGTAATAAAAACAACCATACTCACCCTTCACCTAGATCCAATAGTCAGCATCTGCCCATTGGCTTGACCTCGGTACACATCTATTGCTTCACAACTAGTGTACACATCGTGGTATTTCAACCCTAAACACGTTGCCACGCCATCTCTCACAGTCACCAGGCAGTGCCATGTTTAGGAAAATGAATGATAATTCAGCATCCTTATTGCACAGCCCACGCTGAAATTTCTGTGACTGCTTAAAAAGTGTCTTTCACAGCTGGCTTTCCGAGCCAGGCGCATTGTACTTGGTTTTGTCTCTATTTTCTCTCATTGTTGGACAACACCGCTGCCTTTTCCCCATGGCAGCAATTTTCAACCCTTTTTATCTCAAGACACACATAAAGTGATTACTAAAATTCTGCAGCACACCAAAAAGTATATTATATTATATTATATTTTTTTGCTGAGCTGACCAAAAAAAATACTTATAATTTAGATTCATTCACACCAGAGAGCTGTTGTTGTGTTGGCCATTGGCATTTTCTTATTTGACAGCCTAAGAGAAGAGAGGTCAGTGCCCCCAGTAGGTGGGTATTGCATGTTTTACAAATCCTTGCGGCTCACGGGTTGAAAATCGCTGCCCTATTTTGAAGTACCTGAGCCTGTTGTCTTGTACGATGCCCCATTTTTTGGACTTGTCAGATTGTGTCCTCCCGAGTAAATTCAGACTGAAGATTTTGTCAACATTGCCACAGAAGTGACACTTGTATCTTTTACTGATGCGTCGGGAGGGACCGATGCCAAACTCTCCCACTGCTGGTGGTGCTGGTTTGCTCGCCTCGCCTGGTCAAGGAAGCAACAGCTGGTCCACGTTGTTGAGAACAAATTTCCCCTTTGTAGCCAGTAAATAATCTGAGAGTGGTGCTTTGAGACCATGTGAACATCTTGACTCTCATCAATTCTTCACCCAGTAACTTAATATCTCTTTATGATTCTTGTTTGAATCAGCTATTGCATTGGGAATTACAAAATACTGAGGTTCTGATTCCAGCGTTCCCTCTACGCTTCATAGCTGGCTTTCTTCTCAGAAAAAGGTCTTTTTCTTTCCCCCCTTTTTCTTTCATTTACTTGTTGAATATTATTCCTATGAACTTCAATGCACTTTAACTCATTGCCATCATGAATCTTTCTTATGCTCTAATTTGTCCAGTTACAAGTTACTTCTCAGAGCCTTTTGACAGGACCCCAATTGTCATTGAGCATTTCCTAGATTTCAACACAACGCAGTATCCCAGGTTCCCCTTGTACTGTCCTTACGCAGGCCTGGAATCACCCTCTTCCCCCAGGGCCCCTGCTCCCCCGCCCCCTCCCTCCCTCCGTTCTATCCTTGCCTCCTTTTTTTGATGCGGAATAGTTTTTAGAAACTGGGATCTGGGCACAGTGTGTGCTCATAGCTTCTGAGGCGTTATCACTTCTACACCCCCTCAATGGACTGTCAGGAAATGTATGTTAAAATCACAAATTCAGTATCTTAAAGTTCTTCTTAAGTATTTCTTATTTTAGATTTTTATTTGGCCTCCTACAAAGTGAAAACCTTATTTCTCCACCATATGAAGGCTTTTGCTCGTTTGCTGTATCACACACACAGACCTCCAGATTTACAACAGTGAACAGCTACAAACCTGCTTAGTAACTTGAAGAATTCTTTCCATTCCCCTTTGTCCTTAGAAGTTAGCCTTCTGTGTGTGTGGAGTTCCGTGTTCAAACTGAATGTATTTTCTCTGAGTGTTAGGTTATCGATTTGATATAATGAGAAACATTTGGCTTAGTCTGCTGTTTTCATGTCTGCTTTCTGATATTCAAAAATTAATCCTTTCAGTTTAATTTTTGAGTATGTGAAACATACACACTCAGAGAAGTCTTGCTCCCATACCTGTCCACTCCACCATGCTTTTTTTTTTTAATTTTCACCTGAGAATATTTTTTTCCATTGCTTTTCAGAGAGAGTAGAAGGGGGAGAGAGAGAGAAAGAGAGAGAAACATCAACCCAAGAGAGGCACATCGATTGGTTGCCTCCTGCATGCGCCCGACCAGGGTGGGGGATCGAGCTCGCAACCCAAGTATGTGGCCCTTGGCTAGAATCAAACCCAGGACCCTTTAGTCCTCGGGTTGACTCTCTAACCGCTGGGCCAAACTGGCCAGGGCTCCACTATGCTTTGAGCAAACTATTTTCAATAGTTTCTGTTTTATCCTTTCTGTGTTCATTTTACCAAATATATTTAATTAAAATTTTCTACATATATATAATATTTTATAAAATTAAAAAATATTTTATATGTACATACATGTACATAAATATAAATTTTCCCCAGGCCTTGTGTGGGTTTATATTTTTATTTGTCCACTTGGCATTTCATTGCGGTGTGTAGTATGAGATAGAGATATAATTTTAACTTTTTCCTAAATGGCAACCCAGTTATTTCAATATCATTTTTAAAAACCACCCTATTTCCCCCAGTGTTTTATTTGCCTCCCTTATCATGTTCTAAGTTCCCTCATGTACCTGGACAGTTCTAGACTTGGCGTTGCTCTCCAGGGGCACTTGGGGTTATTCAGGTGCTAGAACATGCTTTTGCTCTGGAGGCCTCATGATCCCCTCCACCACCTGCACCCGCCCCCCGGCATGGGTTCCTTCCCAGGGGCACACGCCTGCTCTTCTGTCCTAGCTATTCTTGCATATTTATTTTCCATGTGAACTTCACAGTCAGTTTCAGAATCTACCTAAGGACACAACCATCTTCGTATTTGGGGGATTGCTCTCAATCCTGTCTTAAATTGAAGATGACTGACGTTTTTAAGCAGTCGTTCACAGAAGAGAGATTTTTTTACAAGTCTATTTTTGCGTGTCTCAGGAGAATTTTCACATTTTACTCTCATGGATTTTTCACATTTCTTGTTTATTTCATGTTTTTCTTGCTTTTGTGATTGGAGTTTCCTAGTTTGTCTCCTGCCTGGCCATAGGTTGCTCTGGATCGCTCTTGTACCTAACACTGTGGCAGTGGGCTTATTGGATGCTGTTATTTTTTGTGTTAGTTTTCTTCTTGATCTTTTATTTGCCACCTTTATCATGTTCTAAATTTTATGATATGTCATCTGCCAAACTGTAAGTCTTTGTCCATTTCTTATGCCTCTAATTGTGTTTTCCTCTCTGATTGCAGTGGCTAAGACCACCAGTGCTAAATAATAGTGGAAACCGTGTGGAGACTTGTTTTGTGCCATATCTTGGTGGGAAATACACTATTGCTTTCCATTAAGTGAGAACATGGCTTTAGGACTGGAGTGTGTGTATTTTATCACATTTAAAAAAAGTATCCATCAATTTTTATTTTATTGAGTTTTTAAAATCAGAAATGTGTGTTGGATTCGGTCAAGGGACTTTTCAGCCTTAGCAGGCATTAGCTTACCCTCTGCAGGTGTGCCCCGGGGCTGGCCTAGCAAACCAGGATGTATAGGCCCCTTTGTTGTTAGTTTTGTTTTGTTTTCTTGCTCCTCTCCTTGTTGGTCTGTATAATTTTTACAGGATGTGTTGGAAGATTTGGGTTTAGGCAGCCACCATAATCCTACATTCTCCAAAGGACTCTTTCTCCTCTCTTGATCCCCAGTCTAGGTCTGCAGCCTCAGTCACCCGCTAGTCTAGCCAGCAAGGCCGTCCCAGCTCCTGCCCAGCTTCTCTTTTCCTGCAGGTGGTGCCTGGCTCTCTGGGGGTTGGGGACATACCTCTCTGAAGAGGAACTGTTGCCTCGTCAAAGAACAACTTCCCCCACGAGGTAGCTCACAGGTGCCTCTTCCCCAGCTCTGGGCCATCGGGGATGGAAGGAGGCTGCTCTCCTGGTCTGCCCATCTTCTTTGGGCATCAGAAATTCAAGCGCAAGTGCCAGCTAGGTACAACCACTGAAGATCCTCCCCTTAATAACACCTGAAGGGGCCCCTTGAACTCAGGACTTGTTAAAGGCAATAGGAAGAACGAACTGCCTGCTGAGCCTGGACCTCTAGGCCGACTTAAACTCTGTGTTCTTCTTCCTTCCTTCCTTCCTTCTTTCCTTCCTTCCTTCCTTCCTTCCTTCCTTCCTTCCTTCCTTCCTTCCTTCCTTCCTTCCTTCTTTCTTTCTTTCTTTCTTTCTTTCTTTCTTTCTTTTTAAAATATATCTTTATTTATTGATTTCAGAGAGAGGAAGGGAGAGGGAGAGAGATAGAAGCATCAATGATGAGAGAGTCTTGATCGGCTGCCTCCTGCACGCCCCCGACTGGGGATCGAGCCTGCAACCCGGGCGTGTGCCCTGAGTGGGAACCGAACCTCCATCCCCTGGATCCTAGGTTGCTGCTCAGTCGCTGAGCCACGCCGGCCGGGCCCATCATACTTTCAAGAAGCAGCACCGACACGTGGCAGCACTTCGGCCGCTGTCGGAGTCCCTTTCCCCACTCCTTTCTTCCCGTCCTTGCTCGTTCCTGACGCGCCTGCCCCGTGTCTGCTCTGCTGCCTTCAGCTCTGCAAGCCGACCGTGGTCCGTCCCTGGCCTCCCGCACGCGGCCGTGGGCTTGGCTTGGGCACCGATGCTTTACTCGGCCCCATCTTTCTGCTATTGTTGCGTCTTCTCCCAGGGGGAGATGTTAGTTAAACATCAAGATGTTAAGACTGAATACACACAATGGAAGGGCATAAACAAGTATGCGATGTAGCATAAATATGTCCTTTTGTTATAACTGTGGATAATGTTCATGTGAAACTACAGTCGAGTGTTGGTGTGAGTTCAGGCTCCCCTTGGAGGGGTCGGCGAGGCCCTTCGCCGAGAGGAGCCACAGCAGGGTCTCTGCCCCACGTCCAGCCCACGCTCTGCTGTATTGGGATCTGATCTTTTCTTCTCTGTTCCTGGTTTTTAATATATATCTATGTTGCTCTTCCCCCCGTCAAAGCTGATACACTAAGTACAGCAAAGCCTCACCCTCTGTAGCCGCGTGTAGTTCAGACTTGAAGGTATCAGTTTCCAGTTACGTTCCCACAGGTCTGTCTGTCTGTTCCTCTTAGTGTCTGCCAGACCTGTGCAAAGTCTTCAAGCACACAAAGTGGCACCTGCCCCTGAGATGTGCCTATTACTTGGGGAATGACTTCTTCCCTTTTTGTCACCACCGTGGATGAGGTGCTGTGGTCTTGGTTTGGCAGGCAGAAAACAACCTTCAGGCTGAGCTCCACCTAAAAACTCCTCTTTACCTAGAAGCCACTGGGCTTCAGGCCCCTTGCTGTGCTGCATGAGGAAATGTTCCCCTGGCTAAGATTTGCTGATGAGCTCTTTCGCACCTGTCTAATTGCGTGTCCCATAAGCACATGCTATGATCAGTTAGAGCACGGTCACTCTGTCAGCAAGTCTTCCAGATGGTCTCTTCCTTTCCAGAGATGAACAAGTGATTGAAGTCTAAGTAAGCAGTCACTTCAGGAGGGGCTGGCAGTCCAGACCTCTGCCCACTGCAGTTTGGGGATGTCTTGAATTCGAGTGTCCAAAGCTGGTGATGAGCCTTCACGTGGAATTCAATATCCAGGGCAAATAACAGAGTGAACAGAACCCACAGAGCCTGTGTCCTGAGGAAGATATCACTTCTTTTCTGCAAGAAGCTCACTAAATAGAGGAAGGCATAAGCACTGTATCCAGGAGTGAGGAAGGGTGGAAGCCAACCAGGCCTCTGTCTACCCTGATGCCCACGCCAGAGCTGTTTGCGCTTCTGTGATGGCATTGCTTCCGTGCTGATGGAACCTACCCCAGCAAATGCTTGTGAGAGCCAAACTCAAGACACAGCCTCTTTAGCTCCACCACCTTGTCAGCAGGTAAGCAGCATTTTCCAGAACTGTTGGCCTCACCTTCTTAGCTGCCAGAAGAACCCCCTGTGAACATTCAGGGGCCCTGATCCACAGAGACCTGGGGCAGTCTCTGTTCCTACGGATGAAACACTGCTCTTCCAAAGAAGAAACAGCAGACTGGGCCGGAGTGAGAGACGGGTTCTGTGGCCATGGGCTGAGCCCGCAGCTCTGCAGGTTCTATGAGGGGCCAACAAAGGGTGGCTTGAGAAAGCAATGCTGTGCCTGTAGAAAGCTATAGGGATATAAGTGACTATTGTTATGCTTATAGAATTATTTTGTGGTTATTGTTACAATGTGCATACCTTGCCAGGAAGGGGCTAAGCAAACATCTTTTTACTATTTGCATCAACCAAAGGTTCTTTGCACAGCCCCTGTTAACATGTCTCCGCCCTGCAGTATTGACCTGTATTTCTGGGGCTGCCTCTGGGGTGCTCTTTGCCACTAAACAGAAATGCAGGTAGTTATATGGACTGGTTCTTCTTGGATTGGGTTTCTCTCCTTGTGTGTGATGAAAGATAAGCTATATTACATAACAAAGTGCCTTGTTATAATAATTTCCTGAATTCCCAGGGCATCTTTCATCTGACTTGATAACAATGTAGTTCATTAGCAGCCTTTGTTAGCTGATCACCTAGAGCAGCAATGCGATACTCATAAGCAGCTTTCCGTGTGTAAGATACAATAAACCATCATGTGAGCTATCTGTTCATTGATTTGTTTCTTTTGGCAGCATTTTAATTAAGACATCTGCTTTGCGAATGGCAGGGCCACCTGCGAACTGACGGGGAATGCCTCTGGATCTTCAGTAATCCTTTTACTTTCTCTAGGCTTCACAGAACTGTGATCCTCTCCCCACCCCACACCGTGACATATTTTCCCAGCACCACTTCTGGGCTCCAGTTATGTTTGATCTCACACAAGGTCTCCATTGGGAAGAACACAGAGAAATGGGCTGAAGACCAGTGCTCTCTCTGCTGGTGATAGAGGCTGACATGCCCAGGGGGCAAAAGGCGCAGGGGCCCTTTGCATTGGGTCTCCTTGGCTTATATCCAAATCCAAGCTCAGGCTTCCTTCCGCGGTAGCCCTACTGGAAGCTCCCCATGGCCTTGGACAACCCTTCTGTGTGGGACCAGCTCCTGGGGACGGAGGTTCTGGTGGGCAGACCTGGGAGTGTTTGGGGCAGCCACAAAAATCATTGTGTCTGTGGGGGCAATGTCTTCAGTGAGGGCGTTTCGATGGCCTCAGGTTTAGTTTGGAAATGTGTAAGCAGAGGCAGGGGCTGGAACAATCCAGTAGGCCCTGGGCCCACAGAACACATGCAGACCCCAGGCAGTCTGGCTCGTGGGCAGGACACCCTGCCCAAAGCGGAAGGGCAGATGCCACTCCAACACAGAGAGGAAGAGCCATCCCTACGCAGGAGAGGTGGCTGCAGGTGGCAGGCCACAGGTGGCAGAAGCCAGCGGGACTGCAGTGCTGCTACAGGTTTGCTGGTTTCAGGACTTAGTGCCTGCATGAGAAGGTGAGCTGGGGAAGGGTTATCCGGCAAGAGCAACAAATACATATGTATTAATCTCTATTCTTACAAATTTAACTTGTTTGTGTTTAATACATAAATTAAAATTGATACATAAAATTAAATCAATATGTGTGTATCCTCTTCTATGTGTGTTAGAAGTATACATATCATAGAATTCTAATATCCTCTAGGATATGTTCTATTCTAGATATATGGGGTTTGCGTAAGTAAATAAATGGTATCCCTTTTCACCATCCAAGTTTAAATTGGTTGAGAGGTAGACAAACAAGTTAAGCAGATGGAGATGAAAATACCAGAGTTGTGATTTTCAAATGAATCCTAGAGTCCTGCTTAGTGTCCTGGCCCAATTCAAGCAAGAGGTGAGAATGGCTTGGGCCGCAGTGCTAGCCGCAAAGATGCAGAGGATGGATGGGCTTGAGGTGCAGGACTTGTGGACAAGTAAATTCGGGGGTGAGGGAAAGGCCAGCTCAGCATCACCACTCTTAGGGTCTGGCGTCTTTGTCCAGAGTGTGAAGGACCCAGGAGCCCTGGTCTTGGAAAAGGTCTACAGCTTGTCGTGGATTTGCTGTAGCAACTAACAGGGAGCCAAAGGAGGGCTGTGCTTGGAGCAAGAATGAACCCACATTCCTGCAGGTGTTCAAGCTTGTGAACTTGGATTAAAAACTCACATTTTGGAGATCGCTCCAAAATGCGCTCCAGCACCCATGAGAGAATGCAGGGAAGGATCAGCTGGAGGGTGGGCTCCCCTCCCACGAGATGCAGTGTGCGGAGGGCGCCTTAGACAGAGGCCGCTGGGCCCAGTGGGACGAGGGCACCAGCAGAGGGGCGGATACTTGTGACACGAAGCCTAAAGGCCGGGCTGGGCTGTGCTCTGGGCCATCCTGCTGACTGACTCTTCCCTTCTGAGTCATTTGTCACAATCTTAGATGTGTCAGATAAATTAATCATCCTTCAAAAGACATGGTTTTGTACACATACGTTGTCGCTGCATGACAAGTGGGTGGTCCCTGTCCCGGGCTGTGTGCAGAGTGCAAGCAGTCGCTCAGGCTGCTGACGGTCCAGCCTCGCTTCTCAGTGCACTTGGGGTCTGGGTGTTCACGGTCCTGGAGTTTTAACTGACTCAGGTTTTCTCTTCATCCGTGGTCCCCTCTAAGCAGTAGAGAATGATGGTAGAGTAGTAGGCTCTCCAGTCACATGCTTCTTTGTGAGCTAGACAAACAATTTAACCTTGCTGTGCCTCAGTTCCTCATTTGTAAAATGGGCTAATAGTTGTCCCTGCCCCATAGGGTCTTTGTCAGCATTAAATTAGGTAATGCCCATAAATCTCTTAGAACACCGGCATGTAATTGGCACTCAGCAAATATGATCTATTATGCACAATTTGTTTGGGTCGAATTTTACCCCATTCCAAAATTCAGGCACTGAGCCCCACCAGCATGGCTCAGTGGTTGAGTGTTGACCTACAAACCAGGAATTTGAGGTTCAATTCCAGGTCATGGCACCCAGTAGGGGGTGTGCAGAAGGCAGCCGATCAATGACTCTCTCTCATCATTGATGTTTCTCTCTCTCTCCTCTCCCTTCCTCTCTCCGAAATCAATTAAAAAAATTATTTTTTTAAATTTAGACACTGAGATTGGAAGAAGAATGGAAGTTTTGTTCTTAGTGAAATTTTAGGTGAAACATACAATTTTAAAATATATTTTCATAATAAAATTTTATTTTAGAACAGTTTTAGGTTTCCTAAAAGTCGTGAGGCTAGTTTGAAGGGTTCACATAAGCCCACACTAAAGTAACATCTTACATTGCTATGACTTATATGTCACAATCAGTAAGCCAACACGATTACATTAGTATCAGTTGAAGTCCACACTATGCTTAGATTTTCTCGGTCTTTCCCTTATATCCCTTGTCTGTACCAGGACCCGCCGAGGACACCACACTGCATCATGTATTCAAGGCTCCTCATGGTTGTGATGGTTTCTCAGACCATCCTTGTTTTTGATGACTTAGTCCCTCAACCTAGGATTTATCTCATGATGAGAAATTTCTCTTAAGTGTAACATAAAATTGATTATAATCAAACAATAAGCCAAATCTTCACTAATCTTGTCTATTATAAATAAAATCTAATCTTTACCCATATAAAAAGAATTAGCCATATAGCTGACAAATGTTAATAAGTTTGAACTGGGTGGGCTCAGTAAAAAGAAAACTTTTTAATGAAACAAAGGTGTTTCTAATTGGCGGGGGCCGCCCAGGTCAGCATCCTGTAACCTCCATGTGCATCAGGTCAGCAGCGGGACCAGGCAGGCGCTGAGCCCCGGGGAGCAGGTGCAGGTTTGACCGGCTGTCCCCTCCCCAGGTAAGACAAGCCTGCCCTTCAGGGGGTGGCTCGCAGCGGCCACTACTGTTCCTCACAAGAAATGACCCATAAGGACGCCTCACAGTGTGGTTTTGGGTTTTTTTGCCCTTTCCTGAGTTTAAATTAGGAGGTGGTTCTTACATGCTGGCAACATATAGTGAGTCCAGTACAACTACCGAATGACAAAAAGGACTTCAAACCATGCCCAAGAATCGCCCACACGTGCTGTGACGGGGCGTCTGCAGCCAGCAGGGAGGGCTGTGCTCCCTGCCACCAGCCGACTCATGCCATCGCCCAGAGGCCCACCCCCCCGCTGATACAAATGTCGCTCAGCTCTGCCAGCTTCTGAAGTCAGGTAACATGGACAGCTCTACTCCCCCACGAGGCTTGACCTGGGTCATCCAGGTTGGGCGTGAGTGGGGTGATGTCCACAGGAAGTGGCTGGTCTCAGAAGGAAAATGAGAGGTGACAGAACAAGACAGAAGTTGCTCAGGCGCTGGCCACCTTCATCTAGACCCCATGGATACTTTACTCATTTAAATTGTGCCTCGCTCGGCTGAGCATGACTCAGCGGTTGAGCATTGACCTGAGATCCAGAAAATCATGCTTTGACTCCCAGTCAGGGCACATGCCAGGTTGTGGGCTCGATCCCCAGTGGGGGCATGCAGGAGGCAGCCGGTCAATGACAACTCTCTCATCACTGATGTTTCTCTCTCTCTCCCTCTCCCTTCCTCTCTCTGAAATCAATAAAGATATATTTAAAATAAATAAATTGCACCTCCAAACCAAGCTTTTTAGACATATTTGCATTCACCATAGCAACCAACATGCTCCTTCATGTGAGAGAGGCCAGTCAGCCAGGACAAGTGGAATAGGGAAACTGAGTCAGACAGCTGAACAAACTGACAGAGCAATTTACAGCAGATACAGGTCACCTCCCTAGAAATAAAACCCAGGCCTCAGTTGTATTTCAGCTCCAGATCCAGAAAAGCAGCAAAAGCAGGTGGGCAACACTAGGACCAGTTGCAATGACCGATGCCCCCTGTCCTGACACTGACCAATCAGTGAAGACCACGACCCTGGAGGAGCACACCTGGAAAACTGGAGAATATTCTGTTGAAACCCTCCCCTGAGATTCCTGTCTGCAAGAGAGAAATAAAAGCCGCAAGACAGAGGAGCCAGCTCGTGCTCTCCCTTTGGGGAGCACCCCCTCTATTCCCTTTCACCTCTTCTTCCCCCTTTCTTCCCCCACAGGCAGGCATCTCCTAAACTCTAAGAATCCCCGTGAGATTGCAACCAGGGAAGCAATGGGCAGAGGCAGCTTGTCGCGGGCTAGTCCCCTGAACTTGACCCCAAGGCCTCCTTTTCTCTGACTTCCCAGAGAGCCAGGGCCGCCCAGCCTAGGCTCCCCTGTTGCTTCTCCTGTGCTAAGCCCTTTCTTGTTTTACTGTCCCCAGCTTTAATAAATGTTCCCTCATAGTCATCTGGAGTCATGTTGTGAAATTTTTCCTGTGCTAAGTCAAGAACCCACACTACCGGTTGGCCCCACCAAGAGCCAGGTCCCCTTTCCGATAACACATGGACAGAACCATTTACTCTGCATGATTAAGAGTATGGGCTCTAACAAAGGTGGCCAAACCCTAAATGGTCTGCCTATCACTTACTCTATGCAGGACTCTGACAAGTCCCTCGGCTTTACCTTAGTTTCCTTCTCTGTCAACTGGGGACAGTGGCCACAGAGGGTGCTACGAATTTCCAATGAGCTATGGCATGTAAATGCTCCACAGATGTTACCCATTGCA